AAAGGCTGGCTGGTGTTTTGCATCCCCCTGCCACAGCTCTCCTCACCAGCAAGGTCAGAAATTTCCTCCTTGAGGGTCTTGTAAGCTGCTGACAACCAATGCTGGGCTGAGGAGTAACTTTTCAACAGACTGGAAATCCCTTAGCACTTTTGGCTTTTCCTTTTTGTTTCACTTGGGGGTCTGTGAGTGCTTTCCATCCTGCTGATCCCAGCCCTCCACTATTCCAGCATTCCCTCAGAGCTCAGCTTAGTGTGGACATTCATTTCCTAAGCCTGCTCCAGGCAGGAGCACAGGGGTTTGGAGGTGTTTTTGTGGCAGGAGGTGAGGGAGAGTTTCATGGGGAGGAGAGGGAGCTCTGCAGCCAGCCTGGAACCGGCTGCTTGTACTTCAGGTTCTTGTCAGAAGAGCTGCAATCAAAGCCTGCCCTGAGTATTTCCTTACTCAAATCAGTGCTCCAACGTTGTTTTTATTTTCCAGCCTGATGTGTCACAGAGCTTTCATTAGAGCTCTGGCATGCCCAAGGAGCACAAAGCTCTCCTCTGGCTCCATACACATGAACACTTCCAGGATGTCTATGGGCTCCTCTCCTGTGGAGAGTCATTCCTCCTTCAGCCCAACCTGGATAATTGTTGCCCATTGTGTGAGGGCACAAAAGCACTTGTTGGTAGAATGCAGCACTTCCTCCAGCAAAACTTTCTGGTCGAAGGCAAGTCTTAGACTAACTCTGGGCTGGGTGCAGTGAATCACAGCCTGGAAGATGCAAGCAGGACATTTATACCCCATGGACCAACCCTGACAAGAAATGTCACGACTGCAGCCCGCTCACAGCAAGTGCAGCAGCCTCCATAAAGGACACAAAATCTCTTCCTGAGCTTTTGAAAGGCAGGTGTTGGAAAAGGGCACACGAGGAAAAAGTGGCAATTTACTGACAGGCTCCCAGGCAGGCAGGCAGGCCAGCAATATCAGAGACTCCCATCCGTCACTCGGAGCGAGCAGAACATAATTCCTCCTGTAATCAGGATGGAAAGACGTGTGGTCTGGGCTAGCAGGGAAAAGGTTGGCTCATATTAAGACCAAGTGTCAAGTGCTCCCTAAGATGGCTCAGGCGCTAATTCGAGAAGTCACCTGGTGGCAGCGGGTCACCAGCTCCCTCTACAGACAACCAGGACACAGCCGGACCCCTGCAGAACTGCAACAGCAGGCGCACACTAACAAAGAGAGTCCCCTTAAACCGGAGCGGAATTCTCCTCCTCACCAGCGATAATAGTGACCCCAGTGGATGCCAAATCCTTTGTTTTTCTCTGCGGGGCCAGGTGTGCGGCGATGCGCCATCCCGGCGCGGATGGAGGAATGGCTGCGATGCCATCAGCGCTCCCCAAGGCACACGGAGCGCGTCTTTTGTTCCCTGCCAGCCGAACAAAGAGCCGGAGCGCTGCATGGAAACGCAGGCGCCACCGGGCTGCCGGAAAAGTTCAGCAGCCCGGAACCAGCAGCCTGCTCGGAAACAAAGTGCCCAGACCGCTCAGCACAGCAATACCTCACGGAGCAGCACACACCGGCCAGCATGTCCCTGCCCGCCAGCATCCCTCCAGCATCCCGCCTGCATCCCGCCGGCATCCTGCCTGCCAGCATCCCACAGCCCTGCCACACAAGCCACACAGCCGTAGGTGACACGTCCAGCCAGTGACAAGGATGTAGCAGGGGGAAAACCCGCACAGGTTTGGGAGGAATGGGCTGAGCAAGAGCGACGCAGCATCAGGACCGAGAAACTGCTGAATTCTCATCCTTGCCCCAACACCTCTTTGTTTCAGCATCGCCCGGCTGGGGGAGGTGGTCTAAGGATGTCTAGAGGAGTGAGATGGGACTGCTTAAGGCACAAACATCTTTCTCAGAAGCCTGTGACAGGCAGAGCAGCTCCAGCTGTCCTCGCCTCCTACCTCCCTTCATCTGCGAGGCGGGGAACTTATTGTCCAGAGAAACAGCATGGCTTTGGACTTTTTGTCCTTTTGTAGTATTAGGACTATTATATTCTCTCTTACTTTTAACCTAATGAACATTTTGTGTTTTCTTTCTGAAATTTCTCAGTGTTTGCAGGTGAGAGAAATCTGTTCCCCCCACTCCCACCCGTGCAAGGAACATTCTTCCAAAGACAATCCAAATCGCAGGCAGGGGGCAGGGTACGTGCAAAAGTGGGCAAGCTGTTCGCTCCTCACAATAATTAGAGAGTGTTTCCATGCCAGGGAAAAAGAAGAAAAGAGTTGCACCTGCCTGTGTTTCCCCCAGTGCCACCAGCCTGCCAGGGGAAGCTGGGCAGCTCCTTCCTTCCCTGTGCACTGACCACAGCAAGGGTGGTCTGGGGTGTATGAAGGAGGATGCTGAGCCACACAATCCTACAGCCAAACATTCCTGATGTGCTGGAAGGCTGCACAAATGTACAGCACCTCCCAAACCTCTCACAGAGAGGAGCTGCTCCCTCCTGGACACACTGAGAGCTCCTGGAAAACTTTGGAAGGGTCTTTTCTCTACACTGCTGTGCACTTTTGCTGTCACACAGTTCCCTTTACCTACAGGACCTGTTAATAAAAATTGCTATTATGTGGCTCCCACAATTGAAAACCCTCTATCATCCCCTGACCTGCTGCAGACCAGGCACTCTGCTTTTCCATGTCACCACAGCAATACATTTCAGCCAGGTCAGAGCACTGTGCTCACCATTCCTGGCACCATGGCAGCACGCAGGGATGGAAGTGCCCATTGTGCCAGGCTTCTGTGCCAGGTGAGCAGTGTCTGGCGCTTGGGATGCAGGAGCTCATCAAACCCGAAACACTCCAGAGATGCAATGGGGAAAAGTGGGTGGGAGAGGACAAAGCAAGAGGAAAGGTTCAGTTTGCCAGAGTTAATGATTAAATAATATATAATTAATACAGCAGGGTCCCACCTTTGCTCTGTTTATCCCCTATGGGAAGCACAGCTGAGTGGGCACTGATCTGTGAAAGGTTTGGTGATGATGTGCATCACAGGGCTTGGGACCCAGGACCCTCCTTCACCCCCTGGGTGCAGGGTGCTCCTCTCCTGTGCCAGTCCCTGCTACCCTGCCCTTCCTGAGGCTGTGTGGAACGAGCTGCTCGCTGTTCCTACAGAATTCATCTGACCCTGCTGCTGTCCCTGCCGCCGCACAGCTTGGCAGAACTTCCTCGGAGGAACTACAGCAACAAACTCAGATGCCAGGGTTTGGAGATAAGCAGCCAGCAAACAGCCAATTTCCATACAATGTATAGAAAAGAGGGGAGAAAAAATACACAATACTGGGAATCCCTAATGAACCAGGGTGAAAAACAGGACAAGTAAGTAACAAAACAGAATAGATTTTCAATAAGGGCACAGCAAATTCTAGTGGGTAGATTTAGCAGATAGGAGAGGAGAGAGAAGAAAGAACAGAAGCCGGAAAAGGAGATGGGAAGAAAGCAAGGGGATCAGAGCAGCCTGTCCAATGGGGAGGATGCATCAGAAGATTTTAATTTCCTTTATTATTATATAGATAGTGCCAGCTCATTGCAGAGCAACAATTCATCTGCCCTGGTAACCCACAGTCTGGTGCTGGATGTTTCTGGACAAGGCTAGTGACCTTTAAGCACTTCTTGCCTGTGGCACCCAGCATAACACAACAATGAAACAATAAACAAACATCACTGCATTTCATTTATCATCTCATAAAGGTGCTTGTTTCAGTGTAAAAGCTGACAAAGCCAGCTGGTCCCAAACAGAAAGACCTTTGTGTCATTTGGGCGCCCCGAGCCCAATGCACACCTCATTACTGAAATTATTTGGTTTTCCACATTGCTGTAGCAAGTTCCTCAAGTTAATGCAAACCCTCCTCTTTGCATTTGTTCCTCTTATTATATCCTAAATTTCCAAGCAGACCTCAGAGATGGGGTGTTGCTCCTCAGACTGAGGGGCTGCTTTAGCCCCTGCCATTCATGGCACCTGCAGGTAAACACCAACCATGACAGTGATCACTGAGGGGTGATCATGAAGCCCCTAAAGCATCCCACAGGGACACACCAGTGGGTTAAGCTCTCTCCTCCATCACCCCCACCCAACTGATCCCTGCTCCATCCCTCCTATCCCATAGACTGGTCCCTTATCCACCTGCAGACTGCTCTGTTATCCACCACTCCCATCAGCTGGTGCCCTCTCCACCACACCCATCTGGACCAGCAGTGGCACCTAAACCCCCTGGGCTGCAATTTGCCCCAGCATCACTGTCCAGCAGACCACTCACACCAATATCCCACTAAGGGACCTGCTCCATCCATCCATCAGCACCTGAGCACTGCCCGTGCCAAATCCCTCTCTCCAGACCAGGATCTGCTCCAACATTTCTTATCAGACTGGTACCCACTCCATCATCCTTACCCATACCTGTACCTGATGGAGCGTCCCTGGACCGGTACCTCAGCCTCTCTAAAAGGAGAGGTACCTGCTCTACCACATCTCTAACGGGAGTGGTACCTGCTCCAGCATCTCTGCCCGGACTGGTACCTCAGTGTCTATAAAGGGAGTGGTATCTGCTAAAGCATCCCCACCCGGACCGGTACCTCAATGTGTGTAACAGGGCAGTACCTGCTCCGGCATCCCTATCCGGACATGTATCTCAGCATCCCTAAAGGGACCGGTACCTGCTCCGGCATCCCTCCTCGGACCGGTACCACCGCGTCTCCGGCGGCAGATGTACCTGGTCCCGCAGCCCTGCCCGGCCCCGTGCCCCATCCAGCCCCGTCCTGCCCGGCGGGCCGGTCCCGCCCGGGGCTCTCCCCGGCCCCGCGGAGCCGCGCGGGAGCGCAGCGCGCTCCGTTCCCACTTGGGCACGGCGAAACCCGGGAGAGCCGGAGACAAAGAAACTGTCCGGGCGGCCCCCTCCTCCGCCGCCGCCGCCGCCTCCTCCCCGGTGCCCAGCACCGCTCCGCGCCCCTTCCCCGCGCAGGGCCGGGGGGATTTACCCGCTCTCCTCCTCGATCTCCGAGATATCGGCGAAGATGAGGAAACCGACGAGCAGCGTGAGCAGCGCCAGCGTCCAGCCCCGGCACGGCAGCGGCATGGCTCCGGGGCTGGGCCGGGCTGGGCCGCTCCGCGCCGCTCCGCGGGGTGCGGAGCCCGGCGCCGCGTCCCGGCTCGGCGCCGCCGCCGCCCGGCGGGGCCGCTCCGCCCCTCAGCGCCCCCGGCCCGCCCCGCCGGCGCGGGGAGGCTGCGGAGGGGCGGGGAGGGGGCGCTCGGGGCGGGCTCGGCCCCGCCGCCCCCCGCCGCTAAAGTTTGAGGCGCGGCGCCGCGGCCCGCGCGTCCCTCACCGCGGCCCGGGCTGAGGCGGGAGCCGCCGCCTCCGCCGCGCCCTGCGAGCCCCCCGGCCAGCTCCTTCGGCCCCTGGCAGCCTCTCCAGCCCCTGTCAGCTCCTCCAGCCCCTGGCAGCGGGCTGCACTCCTCGCCGCTCCGCCGTCTCCTCCCCTGCGCCCACCGCGCTGTGCGGCGGGGTCGCTCCTGGCCGGGTAGGTGGGGGGGTGTGAGCACCGCGCAGGCGGGGCGGCTGCTCCGCGAAAGGACAAAAAACTGCAATAAAATCAGACAGCGGGAACTCCCGCGCGCCGTGCCTTCTCCTCCTTAAAAACAACAACAAAAAACCCTGGATAACTTATCACACCCGGTTCTATTACTATCAGTTGTTATTTTAGCAACAATGATTTCTTGCGCTCCTATAAATACTGACCGTCGTAACCGCGCTAGTCCTGCCATGACTCTGGATCCCGCTGGAGTTTGTGCGGGCAGAATTTATTTAAGAACAAAACTGCAAGGTAGGTGTTCTGCTTCAGAGATGCTTGGCTGCATCTCAACCACCTTGCAACCCCTGCAAACATCCTCCTGCAGGCTACAGGCGCCCTTGGGTTTTGTTACGAAGAGAAAAACTGCAGTTTCTACACAGAAAGTGTGTGAAAGCCGGGAAAAACACAGAAGTACTGGCTGGACCAAAGAACCGCCGAAAAACCACCCAGAGGTGCTTTCCCTATATCCCTGTTATCTGTTAGTCCAGTGACAGACACGGTGAAGAGAGGCTTAGGCAATGCCAGCCTGGCACAGCCTCACCAAATCCAAGCACAACTCTTTCAGAGCAGAAAGTTGCTAAAAATCAGAATATCTGGTGATATATGCACTGCCGAGCTGGAGAGGCACGCGATAGATTTATAATGCAGCAGAGAGAAGCAGCACAGATGTGTTGAGAGCGAGAGATACTAATTGCTTACATATTTAAAACAGCATCTTTAGTCTGAATGGGAGGCACCATTAAGCAAAACAGAGCTATTAACTGGGGCCACTTGGAAAGCTGCCATTTTCCCTTCTGTGCACGGCTTTTTGCATCAATTCAGAAGTACAGTGTGGTACACTGTCAGTGTTGTGTGATTCCTGCCGAGGTGCCTTGCACCAGGATAAAGCTGTCCATATGTACAGGGATGCTAACACCAGTATAATGTATGGAGAGGCAAACTCAGCGCAAGACTTTTCTCTTTTATCTGGATTAAATGGTGGAACTAGTGTGTTATGGCCCACGTGCTTTCCTGGGGATTCTGAAACTCTTGTAGAAAGAGAGACAAACAAATCACCATTACATTTATAGGTAAAAAATACGACACAGGTGAGTCTGGTACAATTATATTGTAGTGTGTATGTGGCAAATTTACACTCCAGTATACAGCTTTCATAATGGAGCACATCCAGGACCCTGGGGAGAAAGTGATTTTAGGTGGCATAAGTAGCCCCATAATTTACCTTCTGCGTAAATCTGAGAAAAGCCCAATTTTCCTCCTGTTTTATTCATCTTGGACTCCTTTTGCCCACCCTGTTCTGGAGCTCCCCAGCAGTGTGACTGGCCTGAGGATGAGGAACAGGCTCTGAGGTGACCTTGCTGGGGCAGGGATGACATTGGGGTTTCCCGAGATGCAGCGGGCACAGCGCCGGTCCCCTGTGATTCGGGAGCACCACACCGCAGCTGCCTTCTCCTCCTTCACATCCTCCAGAATGCAGATGGAGATATCTGCTCCTGCATCTTTTTCAGCTCCATCCCAGGTGGTGTTCCAGCCTCTTTTGTCTGATCTTTGTGTTTCAGTTGCCAATCACAGTGTCAATGTGCAAGAGCAGAAATCTCGATGGAGGCTCAGGAATAAGAGGGGGGATCATTCAGTGCACAGTGGGAGTTGGTTTGCCTGGACAAGGACTCTCAGGGGCAAGGGCATTCTCTCTGCTGAGATGCTGCTTCTGCTGAGGAGTAGCTTTTCTTAAAAGACACGCTGGGATTTGGCTCTGCTCCTGTGTAAGTCAATGGAAATGCTGCTATTAAATGAAATTGAAAAAAAATCCTCCTTGCTGGGTGAGCTGAGAGTTAAGCTTGATGCCCTTCACTGGAGAGCTCCATTGCTAGGGGCTCACACAAAGAGCTCTGTGAATCCTCTACTTGGTGTCATCTGTTGCTTTCTTCCTCTGAAACATGTAGGTCAAAAAAAAAAGGTCATTCTTTGGCTGATTGGGCTTCAGACACAGGGACCAGGACCTTGAAGTGCAGCTGGTTTGAGGTGACGAGGGAGCAAGCTGGATAGAAAATGCAGGAACAGTGCAGCTTGCAGAATTATTTTGTAATCAATTAACAAAGCTGTGTAACACCACCAAGTGTGACTCTGCGATGAAAACCTTGAGATCTCGGTGCACTGCTGAGGGCTGAATTCTGCATGGTCAGGAGTCTTACTGCAGTGATAAGAGGAAATTAATATAATAATACTGGCTACAGAGAGGACAGTTTGCTCTGCATTCACCCCAAGTCCATCCTTTACAGCGTCCTGGCCAGATTTGAGGGAGGAGCAAATAATCCACCCTGATAATGCACCAGTTTCATGCATTGCTCATTATCCTGAAGAACTGCAGACTGCTTTGGAGCAACTGCCATAGTTCCTCAAGTGTTAGTCATTCTGCAAATTCAATCCACCATGAATCTTTACATGATTCAGCTTAAACAGGTGCATAAATGTTGCAGGATTGGGTCCATAAGCACCCACAGCCTCAATTTTATGTCTCATTTGTAAGATGGGTTGCAGGAAGATGAGAGCAAACTGTCGCAAATAGACTGTTGTGGTAGAGTAATATCTTCTAAAACAGAATAAAAGCTGATTATATCTTCTAGTTCCTAATAATTTGAGGAAGTAATTCTGTATCCGGAACATTTGCAGTAAATACAATAAGGTCTACTTAAAAAAAAATAAAATGTTAGCATTGCAGCTAAAGTAACTACACCAGAACAATATTGCATTTTCTGCTTTGTGAGGAGAAGAGAAAAGAAATGGCATTTTTACATTTTCTTTTGACCTTTGAGAAATATCAGGAATATGTAATAGCCACACTCAGCAGCAGTAGCTCAGAGGATTCAGAGAATAAGAGTTAAACACCTGGGGACATTTACAAACAACTGGCAGAGAGGTGATGAATTTAAGATGTGCGTATGAAAGGCACAGATACACAAAGAGTGCAAAAATAATACATAATTAAAATGCTTCTAATCTATGTGAGAAGCATCACTGAGGTGGGCAGTGACTCCTGAGTAAGCAGAGGGGGGGCAGGGAACATGACCCATGAGGTCCCTGCTATGCTGTGCCAAATGCTGGGACCTGGTGCAGGGAGAGGTCTCAGGGGACCTTTCTCCATCAAATTCGTAATGCTGTAAAGCACACATAACCTTTATCGTATCTGTCAGCCAAAATGAGCAAAGTTTACAGCCCATTTTATACAGCTGAGCACTGCTCTGATGTGACAGAGGGGCACAGGAGCCTGGGCTAGCCGGGGTTGTCGTGTTCCATCGTGTCACTGCTGACGCCCAGCCTGCCTCTCGCTGCTCTCGCCAGCAAAACCCTCCCACGAAGGAGAGGTGACTCCCAGGGGCCATGAAGTGTCCTTTCCTCCCCAGCAGGTTCACTGGCAAGAGGGAAGGGTGCTGATTCAGTGGGTTTGATGCCCTTCATCTTCTCCTGAATGCTCTTGCTGGTCTCCATGCTGAGCAAGGGATAGGACAGCAGCTCTGCTCATGGATGGAGGGTGCTGGTAACAGCCCAGCAGCTTCCAGAGCTGCCAGTCTCCTCACCTGGCTTCATCTACCCTTGGGTAAGTGGTTTCCAGCTGGATTCTGAAGTGGCTATGTCCATTACTGAAGTGCATTCACCTGGCTCCTGAAGGACAAGCAGTTTGTCCCAGGCTGGGGAATATAAATAGGGCTCTTTCTTTTTATTCTTTTTTATTCTTCATAAGCAGAGAGCACTGAGTTGCAGCTCAAGCAGAGGAATTTAGACCTGTCCTAAAGTCAGTGAACCTGAATTTTGCCACATTACAGGGCTCCATAACATCCCCTATTGATGTGGGTAAAGAAGCATCCTCTTGCTCCTCATCTTCTAGACAGGGAGAGCCTTCACATCCTTGCATAAAGAGCCAAAACTCTCCTGATTTTCTCTTTTCAAGGATTTTTGCCATTGGAAGGAGGATGCCTAGTCTTTTCTCTTCTTTGTACCCAGACTTGTGTTGCAGCAATAAGAAAGCTTTGTTGAGTCACAAGAAAGGGAGAAGAAAATTAAACGGTATTAATTTCAAGCTCTATTAGGATTTTAAGAAAGTAAAATCAATAGAAAAGGATGGACTCAGTAGGGAATGTGACCTTATTTTCCCAGTGTCTGAAGGGGAAGTGCACACAATAGAGAGATAAAAATACATCTATAAAACCAGATCAGTTTCTTTGATGTTGAAGAAAAGAAGTTAAAATGTTTATGTGAACTTGCATCACTTGACTGGCATTTAGGAGAAGCGTCTTAAAGATAAAAAGAGCAAAACCAAAAATCCCAACCCCAAATCCATAAAAAAATCCCCAAACCCCACCCCATCCATTAGTCCTTTTTATTTCTTTCTCTCTTGCACTAAATTGTAAAAATGGTGCGATCTGTGCAATATTTCATCAAATATGACTCGCCGTTGTCAGAGCAAAATGTTTGATATAAAACAAGAATGATATTTCTTTTCTTTTTGGTCAGATAAGCTGGTTTGGATTAATAAAAATGCCACATTCACAATGATATCGATAATTTGCATGTGAAAAGCCTTCCACC